TCACATCACTTCGCTGTGGATCCTTCAGACCCACAATACAGGTAGGATGATTATGGGATTTCTCCCTGCTTCATCGTATCCTATCTATGGTAGTTTTTTATTAGTAAGGGGAGTTTAAGATCCGTCTGCTGAGTGATTGTAAATTGTTGTGTAAGTGTAGGTAATAACATGATTTCTCGTGCAATAGTCTTTTTTACAGTTGTGGGCTAGGTGGCCAAGCCTTTGAACAGGAGTGAGGCTTAGGGTGACCTTGTCATGGTGGGGATGTTGCTGCTTTTCAAATGCAAATTACTTTGTTATCATGCTAAGTAGATACAGGTCTCTATCGCAACAGGGTCACCCTTAGCCTCACTCCTGTTCAAAGGCTTGGCCACCAAGCCTGCAACTGTAAAAGGGACTATTTATTGTACATAAACGCGAGTTAATTTTTCTAAGAAAACACAATGACACGTGCTTGGAGGGCGAGTGCAATTTTTAGTCTTTAAAAAAAGACAACAATGTGCTTGTTTACACCAAATTGCATGAGAAATCATTTTATTGCTTATCAATAATTTACATGAAGAAAAGTGTTAAAGGAAGTCAAGACGGACACAATTTTGACAGCGCGCACGCAATTTGTAATTTGCACTCGTGTTACATAGAAAATGCACTCGTTTTCAGCCAATCAGAGGTGCGTAATTTCTTTATCATTATCCTTAATTTGGTTTGTTGGTCAAAAACGTCAATGTATCCAGGGTTACTGTGTCAATATCGTGATTCTGTTTCAACAGGAAAACTAAAGCCATGCAGACAATTCTAGTGGAACGACAGAAAAGAAGAGAAAGGTCAGAAGTTGAAAAAGCTCAGCCAGGCCAGAAAACAGGTGGGTACATTTAAATCATAACTTATAGTCGAGACTTATTATCTAACCCATCATTTTCGTGGGAATGAGCTCAAGGTTTCCAAGACACGGGGAAGAACAACTTTCCTTCTTATAGAGAGGACTCGTACCCAGTTGTCTCCGAATGTAAGCAGTATGGGAGCGCGACGCATAATGGGCTAGGAGAAAAACAAGGAAAGAACTCCTCTCCATCACCCCCTTCTCCCTCACTATATCGCTTCGCCCATTTTTAAAAGGACTGGGGACAAGTCAGCTTATATAGAGAGGCTTTATAGAAAGGTGTCTGTCTTCTTATAGAGGTGGCTCTTTTGCAGTTTCCAATGTACAGTAAGTTTTTTTCAATCTATGTATTCTCAAATATTTTGATGTTGTCTGATATTACAGGAGATCAAAGCCTCAGAAAAGATCCGAGGTAAGTTTGCGGTTTTACACAAACATCCTAACCCACTACAGAAGCTCTCTAGACTACAAGCAGTCCCTGCTTCTTGGCAAAGTCTGTCGCGCGAGTCAAGAAAAGTCAGTGAAAATTGATGTTTACGCATCGAACGAAGTTCTGGGAGTGAGGCGCATACCCAGAGTTCCTCGCAGTGTGCTTTCATGATATTTTTTGCGTCCGCGACGGACTTCGTTGTAAAGGACGGACTACTTGTAGTTTAGAAGCTTTCCGCCTCTCTTTCCAATCTCCGGATTTTTTTTATTCACATAAAATGATTGTGCTTCGCTTTCCTTAGCTTATCGCTGCTGATAAAATCTGTGAAGTCAAAAACAGGACAATTCTACGAGCAGAAGAAGAAAAAGAAAATAAAGCACACTTAGCCAGAAACACTCAAGTCAACACTCCTACTCTCGCCCAGCTTCTTTTTCCTCAAATGAGCGGAGTAAATATTGCGAATAAAATGACGCGCAAAACATTGAAATGACATGGCCATTCGTTTAAATCTTCGAATCACCCCCGGTCGACGACGTTCACGAAGACTCATCGGAAACACTTGGGGACTTCCACAAGTATTCACTGTTATGTAAACAAAGATTGTGGGAACAATTTACAACATGTGGAAAATCTCCTAAAAAATATGGACACTCGGCTGGAATGACATCATCATCAATAAAATTTTTAAAACGTTTGATTTATATTCCACTTTGCTTTCAATGATATTTACGAACTTAAAACCCTTAAAACGCACAGGCATTTGAAAGTCTCACTAACTCTATCATTCTGAACTTTAGAATAAACAGATTGTTCACAGGCCTGTGACTTTTTAAAGAGAACCAATTGCTTCACCACGTTTCTATTTTCACGCAGATATAACTGCCGTGACTTTGAAACGTAGCAGAAACGTCAACCTGTGAATATTAAAAACAATACAATTTAGTTCTTGAGCCTTGTATTTCTTTGTATACTAGTCAATTTTCCCTATATTCCGAAGTTATTTTCTTAGCTCCCACAAGACATGTACTTTAAATTCTGCTGAATTACCCCCTTTTCACTGACTTGTAAACCCATAAATACGAGATGATGAGTTTTTTGAGGGGGGGCACGAAATAACCCTAGTTTTCTATCTTACCGACCAAATTCTATTCTTTCCACATTCAGAGAGGATTTTCTCGGCCCACAAAAGAGCTGTAACTTTGACACTTGGACACAATACACAGCTAATCACGCCCTTTCTAACGAGCTATCGAGCTTTCAATTCCAAAAAGGAGAAATCCTGAACAATTTATAGGTCGTTAGAAAGGGCGTAATTAGCTGTGTATCGTGTGCAAGTGTCAAAGCGAAAATCCTCTCTGAATATTAAAACCATCGAATTTTGCTCATGCGCTTATATCTCTGCAAAAAAAGGGGAATTCCTGTGACAATTTATAGCTCGTTGGAAAGAGAGTGATTAGCTGTGTATTGTGTGCAAGTGTCAAAGCTACAGCTCTCTTGTGCACCGAGAAAATCCTCTCAATAATAAAACAAAAGAAATTTGTTAATAGGCTCTTGGTTAATCTGGAAGACCCACTAGCTAAAACAAGCTTTCAACTCGAAAAAGGTGAATTTCTAGACAATTTAGAGCTCGTTAGAAAGAACGTGATTAGCTGGGAATCGTGTGCAAGTTTCAAAGCTACAGATCTTTTGTGGGCCGAGAAAATCCTCTCTGAATATTAAAACAATAAAAATATTAATTCGTTAATAAGCTCTTGGTTAATCTGGAAGACCCTACAGATCTTTTGTGAGCCTAGAAAGTCTTCTCTGAATATTAAAACCATAAACTATTGTTAATGGGCTTATATCTATGCAAAAACGGGGAATTCCTTAACAATTTATACCTCGTTAGAAAGAGCGTCATTGGCTGTTTATTGTGTGCAAGTGTCAAAGCTACAGCTCTTTTATGCGCGGAGAAAATACTCTCTGAATATTGAAACAATAGAAATTCGTTAATAAGCTCTTGGTTAATCTGGAAGACTCGCTAGCTAAAACGAGCTTTCAGCTTCACTAGCAAAATTCTATTGTTTTAATACCCAGAGAGGATTTTCTCGGCCTACATACGATTATACATTAAATATAAAACAATTTCTAGCTCGTTATAAAGGGCATGATTAACTATTTGTTGTGTGCTAATCTCAAACCTACAGCTCTTTTGTGGGCCAACTTGAATCCTCTCTGACTATTACAAACAATAGAAATTCGTTAATGAGCTCTTGGTTAATCTGGAAAATCCACTAGCTAAAACGAACTTTCAACTTCACTAGCAAAATTTTATTGTTTTAATAGTCAGAGAGTATTTTCTCTGCCCACATGCGATTATATATTAAATATAAAACAATTTCCAGCTCGTTATAAAGGGAACGATTAGCTCTGTATTGTGTGTTAATTTCAAAGCTACAGCTCTTTTGAGGGCCAAGAAAATCCTCTCTGAATATTACAAACAATCGAAATTCGTGAATGAGCTCTTGGTTAATCTGGAAGACCCACTAGCTAAAACGAACTTTCAACTTCACTAGCAAAATTCTATTGTTTTAATACTCAGAGAGTATTTTCTCGACCCACATGCGATTATATATTAAACATAAAACAATTTCCAGCTCGTCATAAAGGGCATGATTAGCTCTGTATTGTGTGCTACGGCTCATATTGCTCATATTGTATTGTGTGCTAATTTCAAAGCTACAGCTCTTTTGTGCGCCGAGAAAATCCTTTCTGAATATTGAAACAATAGAAATTCGTCAACGAGCTCTTGGTTAATCTGGAAGACCCACTAACTAAAACGAGCTTTCAGCTCGAAAAAGGGGAATTCCTGAACAATTAATGCCAGGTTATAAAGGGCGTGATTAGCTGTGTATTGTGTGCAAGTGTCAAAGCGAAAATCCTCTCTGAATGTAAAAAACATAAAATCTAGTTTATGCGCTAATATCTCTGCGAAAGTGGGGAATCCCTTGACAATAAATACCTCGTTAAAAAGAACGTGATTAGCTGTGTATTCTGTGCAAGTGTCAAAGCTACATCTCTTATGTGCGCCGAGAAAATCTGTTTTAGCTAATGGTTCTTCCAGATTTACCAACACCTCATTAACAAATTTTCATTGTTTTGATATTCAGAGAGCATTTTCTCGGTTCACAAGAGAGCTGTAGCTTTGAGATTAGCACACAATAAAGAGCTATTTATATTTAATATATAATCGCATGTGGGCAGAGAAAATACTCTCTGAGTATTAAAACAATAGAATTATGCTAGTGAAGTTGAAAGTTCGTTTTAGCTAGTGGGTCTTCCAGATTAACCAAGAGCTCATTAACGAATTTCTATTGTTTGTAATATTCAGAGAGGATTTTCTCGGCTCACAAAAGAGCTGTAGCTTTGAGATTAACACACAATACAGAGCTAATCATGCCCTTTATAACGAGCAAGAAATTGTTTTATATTTAATATATAATCGCATGTGGGCAGAGGAAATACTCTCTGAGTATTAAAACAATAGAATTATGCTAGTGAAGCTGAAAGCTCGCTTTAGCTAGTGGATCTTTCAGATTAACCAAGAGCTCATTAACGAATTTCTATTGTTTGTAATATTCAGAGAGGATTTTCTCGGCTCACAAAAGAGCTGTAGCTTTGAGATTAGCACACAATGCAGAGCTAATCATGCCCTTTATAACGAGCTAGAAATTGTTTTATATTTAATATATAATCGCATGTGGGCTGAGAAATTCCTCTCTGAGTATTAAAACAATAGAATTTTTCTAGTGAAGCTGAAAGCTCGTTTTAGCCAGTGGGTCTTCCAGATTAACCAAGAGCTCATTAACAAAATTCTATTGTTTCAATATTCAGAGAGTATTTTCTCGGCGCACAAAAGAGCTGTAGCTTTGACACTTGCACACAATACACAGCCAATGACGCTCTTTCTAACGAGGTATAGATTGTTAAGGAATTCCCCGTTTTCACATAGATATAAGTGCATTAACAATAGTTTATGGTTTTAATATTCAGAGAGTATTTTCTCGGCTCACAAAATATCTTTGGCTTTGAAACTTGCACACAATACATAGCTAATCACTCCCTTTTGTAACGAGCTATAGTTTGTTCAGGAATAGCCCCCTTTTCAAGTTGAAAGCTCGTTTTAGTTAGTGGTTCTTCTAGGTTAACGAGAAGCTCATTAACAAATTTCTATTGTTTTAATATTCAGAGAGGATTTTCTCGGCGCACAAAAGAGCC